TAATAAATATTAATAGTAATAAATATAAAAGGGTTTTTTTTAATTATTTAAAGAAGTATAATGAAATAAAATTTAAATAAACAAATAAATAAAATAACTAAATTGAGATAAAGAAAACTTATGGTGAAAACAGTCTCAGACTTCAGCTTCGCCACAATTCCTCGGATCATCGAAACATATTTTTACTTCAAGATTCACGTCAGCTTACAAGAGCAATTCTTCGTTGCCAACTCGGATTGTGTCATTTCAACAATAACTGATTTCGATCTCAGTTTCCTCTTCGCAAACAATTTTGCTAAGTGTGTTCTTGGGAAGTTGAATATGCTTCAATAAGCAAATCCTTCTTCAAACGTTAACCATAACAATATCCGGACCAATGTCGAAATCATTTTGATTTGAAAAGTAAGCTCAGAAAACAAAGAGAAAAATTTGAAGCGTTTTAAGTACCTTACAATTCTCACGTTTGGAATTGAGACTTCACTTCAGTCTTCGGCTTGAGAGAAAATTAGCTAAGCATGACCAAAGGTATACTTAGTATAATTGAAAAGTATGCGAGAAATAGAGAGAAAACTAGAGAGAAAAAAAAAGATTTTATTCTCAGATGAGAGATATATATTTTTAGGCTTACCTTTAGAGGGTATTTGTAGCCTTCAAATTCCTAAAAACAAGCTAAAACATCTTAAATCCTAATTAAAACACTTAAAACTAAAATACCTAAAACAAAAAACAAAATATAAAAATAATATCCTAAAATTTAATTAAAACACTAAAACCTATTTAAACTAAAATACCTAAAACAAAGATAAAATATAATATTTAAAATATTATCCTAAAACTTGAGTTTAATTCAAATATGAATTCCAGAAACGTGCGGCCAATTCATTTGTTATTCTAGAAATGCTGACTGGATCTTCTAGAAGGTGTTGACATCATCGCCTCGTCGGATGTTTCATGCCCACTAGTTCAGCTTTGATTCCAAAAATAAAAAAAATTGCAGAATTCCATCCTTTTAATGCAATTTCCAAAATCTAACGTCCTGTACAGAAAACGAATGAAAACTAACAATTAAGCCACAAAAACCAATGATTAAGGAGTAATTTAAAAGTAAAATGTTAAGTAAATTAAGCACTTATCAGTAGGCATTGCCTTCAAATCCACTAATGAGAGCTATGAAGATTCAAATGAAGAGGTGGATGAAGACGATGATGAAGAAGAAGAGATGACCAAGCTCTTCAAAAGATTCAAGAGATTCATGGAAGTGAAGCATGAATCGAGCAAGAAGAAGAGCCCTATAGTGTGCTTCAATTGTCAAAGAACGGGGAATGTAAGTATGAATGTCCCGTTCTAAAGAAAAATGGATCATCCAAGAAAAAGGCATTTGTGGCAGCTTGGAGTGATGAAGATGAAGTAGCCAACATATGCCTCATGGCCATCGAAGAAGATTTAGTGGTATCTTCTAACTCAAATGATTTAAATTCACATTCTTTTGATGAGTTACAAGAAGCGTATAATGCGTTGTATTTGGAATTTGAGACCATGAATTCCAAATATAAGAAATTAATTTCAAAATTTAAATTTGAAAATGATATGGTTTTGAAAGCAAATATTGATTTTGAAAAAATAAAATGAAAATTTGAAAAATGATTTAGAACTTTCAAAAGTCAAAATCAATGATTTAGAAAAACAAAATTTTGATTTAAAAGTTAAGCTTGAGAGCTTAACAAAAGAAAAAGAATTAATTTCTAAAAACAACTCATTATGTTTAAAAATAGCAAAATGCTCACATTGCCATTTTCATGGTCCATGGAACATGCTTGTCCTATAAAGAAAAGAAAATCTTTTAAAATTAGACAAATATGGGTTCCTAAGGAAACAAGGGGTGTTGAAACTAATGTTCAAGGATCCAAAACAATTTGGATATCAAAATCTACTTAAATGTCTCTTGTAGGTGTGTGTAGGAGCAATGGTGATGAAAATGAAGAAATCAAGATGCTCTTCCTACACTAAAAAAGGAATGGGTAACCTCTAATCTTAAAAGTTTTTTAATTTTGCATAATTGGTTGCTCATTTGGTTTGTGCATGCATGATTTTTTTAACTTAAATGATTTTGTGTTGATTTTCTATCTCATGTATGTTAAAAAGATTTTATGATGAACATTTTAAAGTATTTTTAATGATTTTTCATAATTTTTAGTTCATCATAATGAATTTTGGTCAAAATTGGATTTAAATGCTAATGACATCTCTCTAACAATTTATATCAATTTTCAAAATGCTTTGATTTTAAATATTATTAACTTTTTGACCTAAATTTAAATGTTTATGCATGTAATTTAAAAATACCAATGATATCTCTCTAACAATTGATATCAAATTTTTCAAATGCATAAGCTTTTTTATAGCTTTATGCATATGCACTTAATTTCAACATTTAGTAGTGCATAAAGTATTTTAGACTTGGATATATTGAATTTCATATGCTACTAACATGTTTGTTTTTCTTTGTTTAAATTCACTTTTGTTTTAATTGTCAAGTTCTTAAAAGTCAAATTTTTGTTTGGAATACACTTTTTTGAGGGGGAGCTTTGATTTTTCAAATGTTTTTATTGTCAAGTTTATCACTTTCTCTCCAATGTTATTTTAGAACCTTAAAGTTGAATTATTTTTTATATAACAAAAAGGGGGAGAAGTATGATTTGAAAAATTCAATTTCTTAATGAAAAAGGGGTAGCTGAATATTTTCAAACTTTTTCCAACAATTGGTATCTTTTTCATTAAATATTTTATTAAGGGGAGTTTTGTCAAAAACAATTTTTCAAATATATTGTTATATCAAAAAGGGAGAGATTGTTAAACTATATTTTGATATAACAATTTAAGGCAAAATGTTTTTGGACTTGAATTGAATTTATTCATAGTTTTCAAAAATAATTCAAAATTCTTAAAATTGGATTTGAGCACAAAATTATTTTCACGTACAAGAAGTACTGATACTGTTCTTACAGTATCGATACCTCATGAACAATATTGATATTGTTCATATGGTACTGATACCAAATGTAAGGGAAGTATCTATACTTACTAAGTAGTATCGATATTACCAGCAATGCTTAAATTCCACAATGAGAAAATGGTATCGATACCCAAAGGGGTACATATACTATTTTGTATAGTAGTATCGATACCATCAGGCCCCAACGGCTAGTAACAACTAGTTGATTTAAAAATAACAAAGGTAGTACTGATGCTCCCTTTAGGAGTATTGATACCCTCTGTACTGAACATTTTTATTTTGCAGAGTTTTCATTCCCATACTACTAGAAATCATCCCCAACGGCTATAAACGGCCCCAACTTTATTCCAACATATAAATACAAGTTGAGGACACTTGAAGAATGGTTAGAACACCTATCCAAGCAATAAAACACAAGAGAAGAGTTTTTTCAACCTTATTTTATCTCTTTTGCAAATATTTGTGTTTTTAGTGAGCTAAATTTTGTAAACACCCTACATTTGAGAGGTTTTATTTGTTTACTTCTTTTTACCTTTGTAAAGGAGATTGGTTCTAGTTTAACCAAGTGAAAAATTATAGAGTTGTAAAGGTTACTCTTGATCCTTGAAAAAAAAGAACAAATTAGTGAATTTATTAGAAAATCCTTAGTGAGGAGCTAAGGTAGTGGATGTAGACTTAGTTGAAAAGTCGAATCACTATAAATCGATGTGCAAAATTTTCTATCTTTTACTCTCCTTACTCCCTAAACAATTTTTTAATTCACCCCTTGTGCATTTTTCGGTTGATCAAATTGAGCCTCTTCGATCCTAACATTAATTTTTACAAGTAAACTGTTAAAGCAACTTGAATTAATGTGATTTATTTTTATAATTTTCATTCAATTATTTTTACATTTTTACTTTACTAAAATACTTCAATAATCAAAATATTTTTTTATGATATATTGTACTTCAATATTCGAAAGTAATCCTAAATATATTCAGAGTCTTTTGTCACGGGCTAGGAACTTGGGTCCGAGACACTGGTGCAAGTGTCCGACGGAGAGGTTCAAGACAGAGGATCGGGCTTGCTAAAACATTAGTGCAAGAGTCCGAAAGGGAATCTCAAGATAGTTATCGGGCTTGCCAAAGCCACCAGACTTGGCCCATCACTTGGAGAATGCTATGGAGTCCGTTCACATTGGCCGTGCAGAAAAGGAAAGTGGCATCATATCTGAAGATGATCACAGAAGCTCGGTAAATATGGCAAGAGGTAACAAAATCAGGAAGATATTGTGGGAAAATCTTACCATATCCAGTGTGAACACCTATCCAAGGAAAGAATCCTACTAATGGATGTAATTAGGAAGGATTTGGTTGTAATTCCTTGATTTAGGGGATTTGTCATTAATTGGGCAAATCATAGCCGTTGATGTAAAATGATCTAGGCCATTGATTGAGAGGGAGCTCAACTATAAATAGAGAGCTCTCCTCCTCATTTGTAATCACCCAATTCCATTCTTCTCTTTGTGAGAGAGTAATAAAGCTCTGAGGCATTTGCTCTATTCTTTCTGAGTTCTTAGTTCTTTGTTCTTGTTGCCTAGCTTGGTGGCCAGGAGTAGCCACCTTCGTGTTAGCACTTCCACACGATAGTCCGACCTTGTGGCTCCGAGTAGCCACGTTGGTGTTTTAAAGCTTCCGCAATCCGAAGCCTTGAGGGCTTGGTTCCAACCTTTGTGAGTTTGCACACTCACTTAGCTTGGGTAAGGCTTACTTAGTCGCCGGGAAGACCGAGGAGCGTCTAAAGCGTCTAAGACCGCACGACCCGTCAGACCTTGACTCTGATATTCCGACGGTGAGAGGCGTCGAAGTTCTGGGGGCGTGACAAGTGGTATCAGAGCGTTTCGTTGTGGGCAAGCAACGATCGTTTCGACCAAGTTTGGTGGAAGGTGCGAAACCGGGTAAGTTCTGTTTACTTACTGTTCGTTCAATTTAAATTGATAATTGAAATGGGGCACAAGAGAAGAGGAGTTTCCGCACGCAAATGCCAAGTGAGCCATGGTGGGAAACAAGATGAGAGTCCGAGGGGCTCAAGAGCATCATCGGTGTCCAAGCATGAGGATACCGTGACGAGTTCGCAAAGAATGCTCGAGGCAATAATAGCACACCAAGGGGAGCCGGTTCTCGAGGTAGAGAGGCTCAAGGGTGACGCCAAAGGCATGTCCGAGCGAGACGAAAGGTTCTCTCATGATGACGGGGAAAGTCTTCATGAGGAACCAGACGAGGAGCTAACGCTGAACGAGAAGTGGGCTTATTGGATGGAAGTTATTGCTGACCATACCGAGAAGCTCATTAATTTAGAGCATATCTCAACTTCGTGGGAACAAAGGGTCAGTAGACTTGAACAAGCCGAAGATGAGGCCAAGCAGACCCAGGGTGTTGTGGAGTCCCGCCTTGATCGATTAGAGTCCATGGAGGGCAGATTCAAGGTCGAGACGCAACGAGTTCTCGATGAGTTGGAGATGGTTCGAGGGAGAAATGCCCAAGAAGCCGAGGTAGCGGCTTTGAGAAGCGAGGTGGAGGAGCTCAAGAGGGAGCTACTCATATGCAAGGGAGCAATGAGTGAATGGGGTGCGCTCAAGACCTTCTTGGAAGGACTTAGACCAGGGGCGATGCTCGGGGAAGAGCAAGGTGATGCCCAGAGACTTTCGGGAGCCATAGCTGTAGCCGGAACGCTAACTGAGCTTGCTGATGTCAAGCCAAGTAGCAATGTGTCGTCCAGGCCCATGCCCAGGGATAGTGGCAACAATGGGGGAGACCGGGAAATGGTGCAGCGAGGAGATGGTATAGAAAGCTCTTCGAGTGGCCAAGTTGAGCCATCGACTGTTCGCGGCCAAGGAAAGCCATCGGGTAAGAATGGTAAGGCCAAGTCCGGGGAAAAGAAGAAGGCGAGCAAGGAAAAGCTGAAGTGCTACTTCTGTGATGGTCCTCACTTGATTAGAGGATGTCCCGAGAAGCGTCACCTTACAACCATCATGGAGAGGATGGGAGAAGGAGGAGTAGCAAGCATTGGCGGAGGCAGAAGAGTTCAAGCTGCCAAGTCAAGGGAAAGACTTGGTCCGATTGATGGGATCAATGCGGCCAAGCAAGGATCAAGACGAGGCAAGGCTGTCGAAGATGAGGCAGTCAAGCCAAGAAAGAAGCCAGATGCGATTGCGAATGATCGAGCAATCAAGTCAGGGGCAAGACTTGACGAGGCTACATGTTCCAAAGTAGCCGAATCAAGGGGCAAGCATGGTGAGACTACAAGTTCTCAAGTAGTCAAGCCAGGATCGAGACGTGACGAGACTGCGGGTGTCAAAGCAGTCGAGCACAGGAAAGGACCCGGTGCGATAGCAAGTGATAAAGCCGTCAAGCCGAGGGTGCAAAGTGAGCAGGTTCGCTCACAGTATGCCAAGATGGAGGCGTGGTCCAAGTTGAGGCGCCTCAGGCATAAGGGGACACTGAAGGAGTATGTGAGCCGATTCAGAAGACTCATGCTCAAAGTCCCAAGTTTGACTGAAGAAGAAGGATTCTTCACCTTCATGTTCGGATTGAAGCCGTGGGCAAAGAGGGCGTTGGAGCGAAGGGAAGTCAATGAGCTATCTGAAGCCTTGACAACCGCGGAGTCCATCAAAGAGTTTGGAGTCAAGAAGAACAAGACTTCCAAACCAAAGCCGAGAGCCGAAGGTAGCAGCAAGCGATCCCGCAATGAAGGCAAGTCGAAGGATGAGGAATGTTGTTCCTCGAGTGGTAGGGAAAGTCCACTCAATGATAAACCAGACGGTGGATCTGGTGATGATGTGTGCACTAGTTCAAGTGACACAGATGCTAAGCCGAGGGTAAGAGTCGAGCAAGCGAAGGGGCGCAAACTTGAGGTGCCAACAGTATTGCGAGATTACCCGAGGGGAGCCGAGTCATCCAAGGTAACGGATGAGCCCAGGATCGAGTTGTCCAAAGAAGAGGATGAACCAAGGATCGAGGGGGCGTTGCGACTTGGCTCAATACGGTTCATTTCTGCCAAATCAAGTAGAGGCCAAGGGCAGACCAAGTTGTCCATGTCCAAGGAGTCGAAGCAAGGGCTTGCCGAGGATGTTCAAGAGAGGAACAATCCTTCAAAGACTCGTAGACAAGAGTCGAAGGAGGCCAAGACGTTGAGGGACAAGGCAACCGTGGAGACACCACCCATTTCAAAGGTGGGAAGCGAGCTCCACCCTTCGTGTTAGAAGGGAGGATGCGAGGAAGGGCATCGGACTTTGCCGCGAGAAAGTGCCGATGCAGGATGGCGCAAAGAACTCCAATGACAAGGGTTCAATGCGGGGGAGTGTCAGACTTCATTGAGCAAGAAGGGCTGACGCAAAAATTTGAGCAAATGCCAACTAAATCAGAGGGGAAGGTACATCTCAACACTATTCTTGTGTTCTTGTGAGCTTGATTTGCAACTTTAAGTGAGTTTAGGTCGGGCAAGACCTAACTCTTAACGCGGATGGAACAAAGTTTGGATGGGATCCAAGACTTTGCCGCAAAGGACAAGGAGGTCCAAGTCGAGGCAAATCAAGACTTGTAGGAAGGAGTTCCTACGGAAGAGATGCACTTGTGGGCGTGTTAGCCCCATTTCATCACTTGACGGCAAGAGCCGAAGCAAGCACAGCCATTATGGGAGGCTGAGTCCTTATGGGGGGACATGAGCAAGCGAAGGCGTCGAAAGGCAACCAAGTTGATGTGAAGTATGGCGCGAGGGATCGTGAAGTTACATGCGGCAGAAGCCAAGGCAAGCAGTTCGTATGGGAGGACCGCAACAAGCCAAGGCAAGGAAAAGTATCCAGAGTGGTGTTGCCCAGGATCGTTGAGTGCAGTGACGAGGGCGTCGCTAAGTTCAGTGGGGGAGAGTGTCACGGGCTAGGAAAGTGTCCGACGGAGAGGTTCAAGATAGAGGATCGGGCTTGCTAAAACATTAGTGCAAGAGTCCGAAAGGGAATCTCAAGATAGTTATCGGGCTTGCCAAAGCCACCAGACTTGGCCCATCACTTGGAGAATGCTATGGAGTCCGTTCACATTGGCCGTGCAGAAAAGGAAAGTGGCATCATATCTGAAGATGATCACAGAAGCTCGGTAAATATGGCAAGAGGTAACAAAATCAGGAAGATATTGTGGGAAAATCTTACCATATCCAGTGTGAACACCTATCCAAGGAAAGAATCCTACTAATGGATGTAATTAGGAAGGATTTGGTTGTAATTCCTTGATTTAGGGGATTTGTCATTAATTGGGCAAATCATAGCCGTTGATGTAAAATGATCTAGGCCATTGATTGAGAGGGAGCTCAACTATAAATAGAGAGCTCTCCTCCTCATTTGTAATCACCCAATTCCATTCTTCTCTTTGTGAGAGAGTAATAAAGCTCTGAGGCATTTGCTCTATTCTTTATGAGTTCTTAGTTCTTTGTTCTTGTTGCCTAGCTTGGTGGCCAGGAGTAGCCACCTTCGTGTTAGCACTTCCACACGATAGTCCGACCTTGTGGCTCCGAGTAGCCACGTTGGTGTTTTAAAGCTTCCGCAATCCGAAGCCTTGAGGGCTTGGTTCCAACCTTTGTGAGTTTGCACACTCACTTAGCTTGGGTAAGGCTTACTTAGTCGCCAAGAAGACCGAGGAGCGTCTAAAGCGTCTAAGGCCGCACGACCCGTCAGACCTTGACTCTGATATTCCGACGGTGAGAGGCGTCGAAGTTCTGGGGGCGTGACACTTTGATACATTTCGATATTAATCAACAAATCAATTCTTAAATCAGACACTATTATAAGACTTAGGGTAAACTGCATCGATAACCACCTCATTATAGGAAGTTTACAAATGGATTATCCATTTATTAATTTATTATATCACTTAATTATTTAAATGATAATAATTAAATAATAGGGTAAAGTATACAAATTATCCCATGACTATACGGTATTACTTTGTTGAGTCCATCAACTATCAAAAGTTACAAAATGATCCTTTAACTATAGGATGTTGCTTTGTTGAGTCCCTCGACTATTAAAAGCTCACTTGACTATTCATTATGTTCCAAATTCGTAATTTTCCATTAAAATATAGCGGCAATCTGACACCATGATCCCAGAATCTCAAACGACTATCATATCTTAGACACTGGATTAACATCTAGCTCATAATACCATTAATTGTTTTTAATGGAAAATGATGATTTCAAACATAATAAATAGTTGGTGACCATTTTGTAACTTTTAATAGTCGAGAAACTCAACAAAATAATATTATATAGTCGGGGGCCATTTTGTAACTTTTAATAGTCAGAGGACTCGACAAAACAATATCATATAGTTGGGGGACCATTTGTATACTTTACCCTAAATAATATGTCGTTAATATTTAATAATTTAAAAACTGATGAAATTATACATTTTATCATTGTTATTTTATATATTCTATTAATTTTGTGTTAATCTTAATTTAATTTAACAAATTTAATTATCTACTTACATAATGGCTATTATATATCATAATGGTGTAGATCACCATTGGAAATTCAGATAAAGAAATAGACAAAGCAAATGCGAGAAATGAACGAATCAAAAGGAAAAAAACATGTACTTGCGAGAAATGAACGAATCAAGGTAAAAAATATGTTATCTTTTATTTCTTTTTTGAATCGTTTACAATAGTTTTACCTTTGTATTTTTTTCGTGCTTTCCTCTATATTTTGTATGTAAATCGTGTGTTACAATAGTGAGTTACAATGGCTATTTATAATGCTTATGGATCCTATTTTTAGGAGCTTGAATCATAGTAGAACTCTATCCTATTTTTAGGAGTTTGAATCCTAGTAAAACTCTATCTTATTTTTAGGAGTTTGAATCCTAGTAAAACTCTAACGTTATGTTTGTTTTATGAATCCCACTAAATCGAGATTGTTGAGAGTGTTGTACCCGGACGAAAAGATGTGTTGATAGCTGCCCATCTTTACCCATAGTCGTATAACAAGGATATGGCAAAGATTAAAAGACAAGTTTTTCATTCGGTGGAGTTGAAAATTGACTCTAATGTTTCATTAACTCCCTGTGGAATTGAGTTGTGGATGACTCCTCTGTCGTGAGGTCGAGTTGAACTGGAAGCTTCTGAGCACGATATCATTCGTCGTGAAGTTGAAATCGGACTCAAAGCTCTTTGCGAGTGGCCTCTGAATCGTCTTCTGGCTCAAGATACTTCGTCGTGAAGGTGAAACTTGACCTGAAGACTTTGGTATTGATGTGTTACATATGACTCATTCGTCGTGAAGTTGGGTCAATTTGTTTGTGAAGTTAGAATCGTATAGGACCTCTTCGTCGTGAAGTTGAGCCTGAGTATAGGATGTCCTTCGTAGTGAAGTTGAAATCCAATGTAAGTTGCGCTATTCCGAGGCCAATAACCTTCGTTGTGAAGTTGAAATTGACTCTGAAACTGGAAAGTTTGTTGACACACACTCATTCTTTGAGTTGGATATGGTGAAGTTGAAAGATTGATGCTGCTTGTGTGCACGATTCCCTTCGTCGTGAAGTTGAAACCGCGGGAGGCCCTTTCGTTGGGAAGTTGAGCCTGAAATTGGATATCCTTCGTTGTGAAGTTGAAATCCAAGTAAGTTGTATTGTTTTGAGTCCAATATCCTCCGTCGTGAAGTTGAAATTGGCTCTGAAACTGGGAAGCCCATTCATCGTGATGTTGAGCCTCAAATGACACGATATCCTCTGTCGTGGAGTTGAAATCGTGGATGTGTAGGTACGATATCCTTCATCATGGAGTTGAAATCGTGGATGGCCCCTTCGTCATGAAGTTGAGCCTTGACTTGAATATCCTTAGTCGTGAAGTTGAAATCCAAGTATTGTATGTTGCGGGTGGACACGATTCCCTTCGCCGTGAAGTTGAAACCATGGATGAGCCCTTTGTTGTGAAGTTTGGCTTCGAGTTAGATATCCTTCGTCGTGAAGTTGAAATCAATTCTCGAGAAAATTGTGTCGCTTCGAGTTCAATATCCTTCGCTGTGAAGTTGAAATTGACTCTGAATGAAACTGAAAAGTTGTTTGTTGACAGTCAGTCGCCCCTTCGCTGTGAAGTTGAGCTTGTGTTGTCTCGAGTCCAATATCCTTCGCTGTGAAGTTGAAATTGACTCTGAATGAAACTGAAAAGTTGTTTGTTGACAGTTAGCTTGTCTCGACTTAAGTTGTTCTGTAAATTTCCTCTAAATGAATGATGACCCCCATTCGCGGGTCTAAACCAATCATAATTCTTTGGATGACCCCCCTTCACGGGAAAGCCAAATTTTGTCAGCCGGATATCCTCCGTCGTGGAGTTGAAATCTAGCTTGAAAACATGAACTAAATTAGCTCTCGAACTTGTCTGAAGTTGATTCTAAGATCTATCGATCTTTCAATATGTCAAATTAGTTGAGGTGTAGCTCCTCGCTGCTGAGTTAAGTAACCACCATCGATTTTTTACAAACTCTTTTGAATCAGGTATCTTTCGCCTTGAAGTTGAAACTTGACTCTAAAGCTGCAAACATTATGTATGTGAAAAAATGATAAATATGATGCTCTAAAATGTATGCATGTGAAGGAAAGACCTTCAGAAGATCTGAACTTTTGCATCAGGATTTTGAATCCCCGAAGATGCCCCAATATTCGATGTTGAATTTCTAATAATGCCCTAACATTTGATGTTGAATCTTCAAAGGTGCTCCCATTGTTCCTCATTTCTTGCTTCAACGTTGATTCTAAGCATGAGATTAGTGTCTGATAGCCACATGTCATTTACCAAGATCCACTCTAGAGAGATTGTCTTGTTTGAAAAAATGTTCTTTCTCTTTTATTTTCAACGTTCTGAAAATATCAATTAAAAGAGTTTTGAAAAATGTTTAACCAAAAATTTTGAAAATATTGCCCCTTTCACGGTTTTACAATTGAGACAAATCATAAAACTAGAGTTCATTGGATATCAAAGAATTAATTACTTTGTTCATCCTTCAATAAATTATAGTTATTTGACAAGTGCCAAGATCAAAGCTATCTTTGGGAAATGGTTAAACAAGGAAATGGTTAAACAATGAAACAAAGTCTCAGGTTATTGTGTTTGGTCAACGGTTTGGCATTTTTGTTTATTTGATTCTCAATGGTTTCATGGGGTAGCTTGCATGCTCCTTTACTGGAAGTGTTCTCCGACTCCCAGCTTTCATGGTCACACTCAGATTGGGCGATGCCTTATCAAGGAATTTGTATGATCGCCTTAGCCGCACAATTTTTATATTCGAGCTGCCTTTTCAGGTTTTCAACTCGAATCCTCCTTTGGTTTCAAGATGTCATTCAGAATTTACGTATTGAACCCCCCCTTTGTTATTTTTCTCTACCATGCATTTACACTGTTTTTTGCAAATAAAGATTAATCCTGATGGGCGGGATGAAATCTTAAGATAGTCTCTTCTATTCAGAACTTCATGTATGATTAGAAGGGACTTTTAAGGCACGTAATGTAGGTTATGGTTCATGGTTATAAAAGAAAAGGATAAATAGGCCCAAACAAGTGTTTCAGGGTATCGAACCAAGGATCAATTCATTCTGATCCCTTCAATCCTATCTTGCCCAATTTGAATATGCTCGTATGTGTTTCTCTTGATTTTCTTT